CGACTTGATTTTGGGGACGAAATCCTTGGATGTTGGGGAGATTGTGAGCACTTGCATTTTTATCATTTTTCCGGTCATTTTGACATTCATGCATTTTATTTTATTGTCGGAATTTTGATTATTTTGCAAATGTGTGTTTAATTTAATTAAAGGTCATTTGTTTATTTCATAAAGGGCATTATGGACTTTTTGTTTTGCAAATAGGATATTTGGTAATTGATTATTTTGTAAAGGGCAAAGTAGACTTTTAATATGCAAATGACATAATTAGCATTTAGAAAATAATGGAAGGACTTTTTGGTCATTTTGCTTGGTCATGCATTTGCTTAATTGTGAGCTTGACACTTGGGGGTACACATGGCTGCATTTTGTGTGTGTAAGTGATGACTTGTGTTTAGCATTGAAACAAAAACAAAAGATAGAAACAAAATATAGTTCTGCAGAAACCAAAACAAACTTCCGTCCCTTTTGTTCCTTCATTTTTGCCATCTCACTTACATGCAATTTCAAGGCTCTTCTGTTGGAAATTTTGTATGTCTTGTGAATGAAAAAGTTTCCTACTATCATGGTTTTCATTTTGGTATCAAAGTTGTGATTATTGCTTCATTGCTGGGGTTTTAAAATCTATTTGAAAGAAGTGGGTTTTGGTTGCAAAAGAGAAAGGTGTTCTTCAATTTTTACAAAGTTGGTGGCTTTGATTCCTTCTTGGAGTTGCTTCAAATTGTTCTTGCAAGGGTTTTCAAGCTTCTTTGAGGTAGGATTACTTAACTCTGACACTTTTTACCTTTAAGGAATCAATTCTATGTGTTTTGTGCTTCAAACATAAGCTGCTACTTGTTTTTCACAATTCTAGAATCACAGCGACCTGAACTTCAAAGGATCATAACTTCCTCATTTTAAGTCCAAATTGAGTGATTTTTGAGTCTAAATTGACTAGCTCAAAACAAGTTTTCCAATGATACCAATTTTAGCCTTATATTGAAATTGTGGAAAAAGTTATGACCCTGTAAACATAGGCTGCCAGGTTCGCGCTTTAATCTGCAGAATTTCCTGCATAGCGACCTGAACTTTAACTGACCATAACTTCCTCATTTTAAATCCAAATTGAGCGATTTTTGAGTCTAAATTGACTAGATTGAAACAAGATTTCCAATGATACCAATTTCAGCCTTCGATTCCAACTGTGGAAAAAGTTATGACCTTGTAAACATAGGCTGCTACTTAAAAATTAGAATATTGGTTGTTATGATATTTCTTGAAATGGGAAGTTTTGTACTTGATTTTTTAAATGTTATTAAGCACTGTTTATGTTGTTATGTGGTAAATGTGAGTTAGAAAGGATGCTTCTTATGTGATACAACCATGGATTAATTAGCCTGTTAATTTACCATGCTTGTGTGTGGATTAAAATGCAATACCATGATATTGTATATGAGTTGAGATTTCCATATTCATTCCATTATCCGTATATCATGTTATACAAATGTACATGCATATCACATTAGCATGGGGATGATGTTGGAATGAAAGGGAAAGTGAAAATGTTTCATTAAATGGTTTTGAAATCTGGATAACAGGGAGGTGCCTTGTATTCGTGAGTTTTGAAAAGGGAATTGAATCAAAAATTTTAAAACCAGACAAGGAGTTGCCTTGTCTGTGCAGTTAATGGAAATCTAGAGGAGACGTAGGGAGTGGCTCTACACGTAGTTGTGTCACTAGAACCCCAAAATGATCACAAGGAGTGGCCTTGTATCAGGGATAAATGACCAACTCTCTTCTCGTGGTACTGGGGAGTAGCCCTGGGGGGATTACATTAACTTTTTTGTGATGGAAATGGGATTTTGGGAAAGTGAGAAGTGTCAGTGGGATTAGCATTAGCATTCGCATTGCATGGCACTTCATTTTATTATCTTACATGACATCATTTCTTTCCTGAGTTTATATGATCCCATTATCCTTTATCTATTCTTTGTTTGGATTCACGGAGGTATTAAGGAGTGCGCTTTAAGTAATTTCTGCTGAGCTGTGATTGCTCATTCCTATTTTATTCACATCTTTTCAGGCCATAGCATGGATGGTGTGGAGGGTGTCCCTCCTTAGCTTTAGACAGAGTCAGGGCTGGTGTTGTCATGTTTTCATTCTGTATAATTGACTATGTTTTGTATTATATTTCTTTAGAATTTTCCTGGCATGTAATAAATGTTCTTTCAGACTTTAAAACTTTAAAGTTGTAATATTTGCATCTTATCTATTTATTTTCAGTCTTATTTTGTAAAGGAAAATAGATAGGTGGATGTGTGGTTAAGATAGGTTACAGGGATATTCTTGATTTTGAGACTGTGATTGTTTGTGTGGTGTTCACAATTCGGACTACGGTCTAGAGACGTGACAGTTTAGTAACCGGTTAGATGACTTACCACAGTGAGATTAAATTTCAGAGATATTTGTCATTCCCAGTTCTCTTCAAATGGCAAGAAAACTATCTTCTTGAAGAGGTTTGGTAAAGATATCAGTCCATTGCTTGTCTGAATTGACAAAAACAAGTTCAATGTCTCCTTTTGCGACATGATCTCTAAGAAAATGATAATGGAATTCTATATGTTTGGTTCGTGAATGCTGAATGGGATTTTTGGAAATGCGAATAGCACTAGTGTTGTCGTATTTGATTGGAATGTGGTCAAAGAAAACACCATAGTCCTCAAGTTATCACTTGATGTAAAGAGCTTAAGCACAACTGCTTCCAGCAGTGATATATTTGGCCTATTTCGTGGATAGTGCAACAGAGTTCTGTTTCTTGCATGACCATGAGACAAGTGAATGACCAAGAAAATGGAAAGTGCCACTAGTACTTTTTCTATCAATTTTGCACCCAGCAAAGTCGACATCCGAATAGCTTATGAGATCAAAGGAAGTATGACTAGGAAATCATAAACCTAAATTAATAGTACCACATAAATAACGAAAATTCTTTTAACAGCACATAGATGTGATTCTTTGGGACAATATTGGAATCTAGCACATAAGCATATGCTAAACATTATATCCGGACTACTTGCAGTCAAATATAGAAGACTACCAATCATGCCTCTATACTTTTTAATATCCACATCTTTACCTTTCTCATCTTTATCAAGTTTCAAAGATTAACTTATGGGGGTTTTGGCATGTTTGACTTCCTCCAAGCCAAATTTCTTTAGCAAATCTTTAACAGACTTGGATTGACAAATAAAAATGCCATCAAGTGCTTATTTGATTTGCAATCCTAGAAATAATGTAAGTTCACTCATCATGCTCATTTCAAACTCATTTTGCATACTAGAGGATCTATTGAATAATTAACATATATCATCAACATATATTTGAATAATATCATCTATTGGATGATATATCATCAACATAGGCAAACTTTTCATAAAATACTCTATTGGATGATCCAAAAATAATATCATGAACATATATTTGAATAATTAATAGACTACCATCAATGGTTTTAGTAAAAAGAGTGTTATCAATTTTTCCTCTATTAAAACCATTTTCAAGTAAAAAGCCACTTAATCTCTCGTACCAAGCTCTTGGCGCTTGTTTTAAACCATACAATGCTTTTGACAATTTGTAAACATGGTTAGAATGATCATAGCTTTCAAAACCTGGTGGTTGTTCGACATGCACTTCTTCCTCAATAAAACCATTTAGGAAAGCACTCTTTACATCCATTTGATATAGCTTAAAGTTTTTATGGGAAGCAAATGCAAGAAGCATTCTAATAGCTTTAAGTCTAGCTACGGGAGCAAAGGTTTCATCATAGTCAATTCCTTCTTCTTGATTATATCCTTGAGCAACAAGTCTAGCCTTGTTCCTTTCAATAATTCCCGATTCATCCTTTTTGTTCCTAAATACCCATTTTGTGCCAATGATAGTTTTATTTTTAGGTCTAGGAACCAATTTCCAAACTTCATTTCTTTCATATTGGTTAAGTTCTTCTTGCATAGCCATTATCCAAGACTCATCATTTTTGGCTTCAAGCACATTTTTTGGTTCAAGTTGGGAAACAAAAGCCACATAATTGCATATGTCACTAATTTGAGATCTTGTACTGACACCTTTGGATGGATCACCAATAATTTAATTTATTGGATGATTAGGTACTTGCTTCCAATCCTTAGGAAGTGTGGCATTATGAGGATGACTTTCTTTTGAATCATCTTTGGGGAGATCTTCAAAAGATGGATTGTTTATATCAAGATTTTCAATGCTCTTTTCAGTTTCCATTACATCCTCATTATCATCCAATGAACATTTAGGAAGGGGCAAGGGAGATTCATCAAAAACAACATATATAGACTCGACAACCACGAGTGTTCTTTTGTTGAACACTCTGAATGCTTTACTACGAGAAGAATAACCTAAGAAAATTCCTTCATTTGATTTAGGCTCAAATTTTCCTAGATTATCTTTATCATTAAGCACAAAGCATTTACATCCGAAAACTTTAAAATAGCCAATGTTTGGCTTCCTTTTGTTCCAGAGTTCGTAAAGAGTTTTGTTGAGAAGTTTTCTAATAACGACTCTATTAATGACAGAGCATGAGGTACTAACGGCTTCGGCCCATAGAGATCTAGGTGATTTATATTCGTTCAGCATAGTCCTAGCCATTTCTTGAAGAGATCTATTCTTTCTTTCAACAACTCCATTTTGTTGAGGAGTTCTAGGAGCCAAAAGATTATGATTGTAACCATTTTCGTCATAGAATCGTTCAACATCTTGGTTTTCAAATTCTCTCCCTCTATCACTTCTAATGGAGCATTCCTTTTCATTTTCAACTCTTTTACAAAATTTAGAAAAAATAGTGTGAGACTCATTTTTGCGTGAGAGGAAAAATACCCAAGTGAATCTAGAGAAATAATCAACAATCACAAATGCATAGAGTTTTCCACCGAGGCTAGCTACTTTTTTGGGACCAAATAGGTCCATATGAATTAATTCCAGTCGTCTTGATGAAGTTATGTCTTTTTTTCTTTTAAATGAAGACTTAATTTGTTAGCCAATTTGACATGCACTACAGGTAGTATGAACCTTGTTACACACTCAAATATCTCACTCACTGCACACACCCTTGTACAAGAATAGATACTAGCTTTCACAACCAATCTACACTCACTAACTCACCATCTTCACTTGCTGTATACAAGTAATAACTCACTCTGCTGCCCCACTTTCCAACCACCTTGTACTTACTAGGACACTGACTTTCACTCCCTCTATACACACACAAGATCAACAATGTGCACACAGGCACTCCCCCAGTCCACAGCCCCTATGCTTGGACATAAAAGCTCTCAAGAGCTAATCAACAATTAAAGAAGGTGTTAACACACCAAATATAGAATACTTAAGCAGCAACACAAGATAAGAATGAATACACAGCCTAAGCAACACAAGAAACCCTAGCTTCACTTTTCTGCAATAGAGGGGTAGATCTGTCAACTCATAATGCAGCTTCACTTGATGATCAAAATAGGTTCCCACAGCCTTGAATAAGTCAAATACACTTGTTTGTATGGAATACACAATTAGATAAGCAAGGTAGAACAAAATAGCTCCCACAAGGCAAAAACCCTAAAATCAAGGGTAATGAAGTAACTTCACAATGCAGCTCCAAGAATGGCCTGCAATGGACTTCCACAGCTCTGTATAGCCAAATAGCACTTGCAAAAATGTCTTATTCAATAAGCTCAGCAAGGTAGATCACATTAAGTGTACAATGAGATAAACCCTAAAACCAAGGGTAACGAAGTAACTTCACTTTGTAGCTTCAGAACTGTCCTACAGTTGTCGCCCACAGCCTTGATATCTTCATACAACCCTGCTCAACAAGATTCACAATGATTGGAGCAAGATGTAACAATGACACTTCACAAAAGACTTAAACCACAATCTCAAGGGTAGAATGGTCTCTTCACAATGTAGCTTCTGTTTAGGCCTGTGAATGGCTCCCAAAGCTGTATATCACTAAATTACACATGCTCAATTGATGAATATAGATAAACAAGCAAGGTAGCTCAATGCAATCACTTAAACAGCCTTAACCTCACTAAACCCTAGCTTTGTAGCTTCAAAGGGTAAAACTGTAAACTAGCTCAACAAACAGCTCAAACTTCACTCCCCCAGTCAATAGGCTAAATACACTTGCCCAAATGATTGATAAGAATAGAACAGCAAGATATCACAATAGTTGCTCACCACAGCCACTTTAAGGTTTAAAACCTGATTTTCAGTTCTAACTAGACACTGCCTTATGAAGCTTCATATCCACAACAACCAGGGGCTCTCTCATCTTGAAAATAATGAATTACACTTAGTTTAAAGCTGGGACATGATAAATGAACTAGGGCTCAACCCTGCAGCTCAAACAGTAGCTAAATAACAAATTGTAACAGTCTTGAAGAGTGCAACTGCAATATTCTGGTTTCCAGGGGTAAAACTGTAAATCTGAGACTGAACCATCTTGAATATAATTCCCACAGCTTTCTATCATCATATAAAACTTGCTCACAATAATACTTCACAGTTTACAGCAGGTTAATACAAATTTGAAGCTCAAAATAGTTCAATGAAGGCTTTACAAAACAAATTCTGCAGCAGCACTATTTCGAGGGCAAACTTGGTATTTCACCACTACAAAGCACTGGATTTCGACCCTCTTAAGTGTATATTAATAGTATAGATATTCTTAGATGAATAACATATCAACCATACACATATATTACAATTTCAACTCTCAAACCAGCCATGTAAACTTTTTCAGCTCAACTTTGTATGGTTCACCATACCAGAATTACTATATGTCAATTCTTTGACTTCTACTCAACTTAAGCAACCTCCAATAAGAAATTTAAGTATGCTCAGAGATTATAAACTTAAATCTCAGAAGGACAATCACATTCACAGTTTATAATCAAGACTTTATAGCAGCAGAAAACTGAATATAACAGCTCTGAGATACTGAAACTTACAGCAGCAGTGATATACACTTGAGGACCCTCATAGAAGCTGTGAAATGATAAAGCACATATGCTCAAACCTTGTTTCAGCTCAAGAATCGACCACAGCAAATTTGAGCCTTCTTATACTTCAATTTGCATCATGAATTCAGCATCTATCAGCATCATTCTTCATCTTCAAATTGTATACATTTGCTAGTAGAATTTTCAGGATTAAATAGGCTCTCTTGATAGATTAAACTCTCACAAAAATGTCTTCATATGGTCTCTCGAGAGTTTTTCATTTTTCAGCTCATTTTCAGCCCTTTGGCTTTTTCAAAAGAGGCAGACCTACACAATGCTCATAGAGCACCTTTATAGTGTTCATTCCAAAACCCTAGTATGGATAAGATCTTATTCATCACTAGCCAATGAATATACGTACTCCTCTCTCACTGCAGGACCACAAGGCTACGTGGTAGCAAGTTATTCACAGTGCTGAATTGTCGATGCTGCCCTTGAAGACTCCACATGTCACATACTGTTTTACAGCCACATTTAAGTCCTTAGAATTTTACCTATCAGCTCTAATACACAATGCACTATCTTAGAAAAATATAGGTTGACCATATACTTCTGTAGAATGACATAAATGCCCTTTATGCCCTTGTGAATAGTCCTTAGTAGATAGCACATCAAACCACTTGTTCTTTTGACATTAAAAGAGCAAAACCAATAGAACAAACAATCTACCCCTTTTGCCTTTTAATGTCAAAAACCCCAAAGCCCCCAAACACTCTCTTCTAGTTTCAATTCTCCCTCTTTTTGACATTGAAATTCAAAAGGGCATAGGGACAAACACTTTCAAATTCTGAACTTCGAAGAGGGTTAAATACTAATTCAGAAGCTTGACATATTGAATTCAGTAAGGACCAACACTGATAGTGTACTTCAGCCAATTTTCAGTAAATAATAGACTTGTGATATTAAGGATCCAAGGAAATAAATGGAATTTTGCAGATCCTTAGGCCTAAACAATAATCTTTGAACCTTGAACCATCATTATACAGAAGCTAAGATGTTTAGTACAAAGATCCATGCATGATATAATAGTTTTAGTCTCTAAACACAATTTCTGCATAATGTCTCAACTGAAGGGTAAAGTTGAAATTGAACACTGTTCCAGGCTTGAATTTAGTTCTCACAAACTTTTATCACCTTTCTACATATGCTATGAGGAGGATCACAGTGACAGAACAATGTAGAATAATTTCAGTTCTTAGCTCTCACTTTAGATACAGATACCAAACAGCTCACTACAGGTTCTGTTTTGTTGCTGTTGTGATACGTCTATTTTGAGGGTACAAATGGTATTTTACAATGTCACAGGCTTGGAAGATATTCTCACACACTTCACTGATCTTCACACAAGGGCCCAGATGTCTAGCACATCAATATATATACATATATTACAACCTAAAACCCTGTTCAAAGGTAGTTACAGCAGGAGCCTACTGTCAAAGGGCAAATTTGAAAGTTTGAGGCTACACAACCCTTAATTCAATCTCTTCAGACTTGAATAAAAAATATAAACTTGCTTGAATGATGTTCAGTACATAGATAACAAGTGCATCAAAGTTCCCTCACAACTTTAAGATAAATCAGTCCAAAACCTTAAAACACAAGGGTTTTTCAGTGCAATATATGTAGGGCTAACATACTGAGATGAATAATAGGTTGTACATCCTTGATATACCATTTTAAACATGATCAAATGTTAATGAATCATGTAAGATCAAGATGAAAAACAAATAAGCACATACACAGCAGCTATGCACCAGATATTGAAGAATAAGGCAGATTTGAGATATGAAAATTGATACCAACTCAAGAAAGAATGTGTAAGACCTTTTTAAAGATAAAGACACCCCAGATACTCTTACTTGTCCTTAATTTGTCTGAGCTACAGACCAAATTTCAAGTCCATTTGTTCTTTCAAACCAAGTAACAGAACCAGCAAAACAACAACAAAAGACATTCACCAATAACTGAAGATCTTGTCTCTGAGGAGAGGAGGTCTTATAGAGTTGTGAAGTTGGAAAACAATGAACATACAATGATCATGGAAACCCTTGTCTCTGAGAGGAGGTGGTCTTGTAAAGCTTTGAAGCTGAGTGGATTTTAGAATTAATTCAACCTTGAGAGTTCTTGAATTTATAGAATAGTGAGGCCAGTAATTTCTTGTGTAAGAGATTTCAAACTTTGATAGTCTTGATTTTTCTTCACTAGTGCATTGAGTTTGAGGTTCTATCCTTATCTTCAAAAGACTTAAGCAATTATCATCCCAAATCCATTTCCTTTTTACATTACAGATCCTAGGAATTGTATGCATTAACAGCTTCATTGAAGATAGCTTCCAAGCTGGCTTCATCATTTTGATCTTAATGAAATGTTTCTTGTACCTTCTGTTAAAGACTTTCTTCCATCTTTCTTGTAAGACATGAGAGGATGAACACCTTGTTAATGAAACTTCTACCCCTTTCTTCTTGTGTTTGAGTGAATCAACAACAGAATTCACCTTATCAGCTGAATCTTTCTCATATTCCATTTCATTTATCACAAGCATTGGAGGACTTTCATCTTCTATTATCTTCTTCCATAGGAATTCCTTTGACTTTAGCATAATAGTGTTGAACACAATAAGAGAGAAGGAGAGCAAAGTTGAACACTTGAAGGCTTCAATACAAATATTCTCTTCATCCACATTTCTTTGAGCTTCACCTTTATACCATTGATTTGCCATAGTAGTTCTTACACCATTGAATGATTCAGGAACTTCAAAGCCATCATTGACATCATATATTGAATTGAGTGAGTCCCACATATCCTTGGAGGATTGATAGTTTTCAACCTTAATCAGTTCATTGTACTTGAGACCACTAAATAGAATCTGTCTTGCCCTTGAATCATTTGATAATTCTTCTTCATTGGGACTAGATACCCCTTTTGTGGCAGCATGCCACACATCATAGGATTGTGACATTAGATATGCTTTAATCTTGATTTTCCAAGTGTCAAAATCAGCACCATCAAACAAAGGAGCTTGGTGAATGTATTGACCTTCTTCCATTAACCCAAGTCTTTACTATAAGATTGTTAAGTCCTTAGAATTACAGACCAGAGCTCTGATACCACTTGTTAGACCAAGAGGGGGGGCGAATTGGTCTTACTAAACCTTTTGCTTTTCAATTAACAATACCAATCAAACACACAATAAGCACATAACACAAGATATACAAGGAAACCCTTTCAAAAGGGAAAAACCTTGGTTCTTGGCCTCAGCCAATAAATGCCTCCAGTAGTAGTATGAACCTTGTTACACACTCAGATATCTCACTCACTGCACACACCCTTGAACAAGAATAGATACTAGCTTTCACAACCAATCCACACTCACTAGCTCACTATCTTCACTTGTTGCATACAAGTAGTTACTCACTCAGTTGCCCCACTTTCCAACCACCTTGTACTCACTAGGACACTGACTTTCACTCCCTCTATACACACATAAGATCAACAATGTGCACACAGGCACTCCCCCAGTCCACAGCCCCTATGCTTGGACATAAAAGCTCCCAAGAGCTAATCAAAAATGAAAGAAGGTGTTAACACACCAAATACAGAATACTTAAGCAGCAACACAAGATAAGAATGAATACACAGCCTAAGCAACACAAGAAACCCTAACTTCACTTTTCTGTAATAGAGGGATAGATCTGTCAACTCACAATGCAGCTTCACTTGATGATCAAACTAGGTTCCCACAACCTTGAATAAGTCAATTACACTTGCTTGTATGGAATACACAATTAGATAAGCAAGGTAGAACAAAATAGCTCCCACAAGGCAAAAAACCTAAAATCAAGGGTAATGAAGTAACTTCACAATGCATCTCCAAGAATGGCCTGCAATGGACTTCTACAGCTCTGTATAGCCAAATAACACTTGCACAAATGTCTTCTTCAATAAGCTCAGCAAGGTAGATCACATTAAGTGCACAATGAGATGAACCCTAAAACAAAGGGTAAAAAAGTAACTTCACTTTGTAGCTTCAGAACTGACCTGCACTTGTCACCCATAGCCTTGATATCTTCATATAACCCTGCTCAACTTGGAGCAAGATGTAACAATGACACTTCACAAAAGACTTAAACCACAATCTCAAGGGTAGAATGGTCTCTTCACAATGTAGCTTTTGTTTAGGCCTGTGAATGGCTCCCAAAGCTGTATATCACTAAATTACACTTGCTTAATTGATGAAGATAGATAAACAAGTAAGGTAGCTCAATGCAATCACTTAAACAGCCTCAACCTCAACAAACCCTAGCTTTGTAGCTTCAAAGGGTAAAACTGTAAACTAGCTCGACAAACAGCTCAAACTTCACTCCCCCAGTCAATAGCCTAAATACACTTGCCCAAATGATTGATAAGAATAGAACAGCAAGATATCACAATAGTTGCTCACCACAACCACTTTTACGGTTTAAAACCTGATTTTCAGTTCTAACTAGACACTGCCTTATGAAGCTTCATATCCACAACAACCAGGGGCTCTCTCATCTTGAAAATAATGAATTACACTTAGTTTAAAGCTGGGATAAGATAAATGAACTAGGGCTCAACCCTACAGCTCAAACAGCAGCTAAATAATAAATTGTAATTGTCCTGAAGAGTGTAACTGCAATATTCTGGTTTCCAGGGGTAAAACTGTAAATTTGAGACTGAACCATCTTGAATTTAATTCCCACAGCTTTCTATCATCATATAAAACTTGCTCACAATAATACTTCACAGTTTACAGCAGGTTAATACAAATTTGAAGCTCAAAAGAGTTCAATGAAGGCTTTACAAAACAAATTCTGCAGCAGCACTATTTCGAGGGCAAACTTGGTATTTCACCACTACAAAGCACTGGATTTCGACCCTCTTAAGTGTATATTAACAGTATAGATATTCTTAGATGAATAGCATATCAACCATACACATATATTACAATTTCAACTCTCAAACCAGCCTTGTAAACTTTTTCAGCTCAACTTTGTGTGGTTCACCATACCAAAATTACTATATGTCAATTCTCTGACTTCTACTCAACTTAAGCAACCTCTAATAAAAAATTTAAGTATGCTCAGACATTATAAACTTAAATCTCAGAAGGACAATCACATTCACAGTTCATAGTCAAGACTTTATAGCAGTAGAAAACTGAATGTAACAGGTTTGAGATACTGAAACTTATAGTAGCAGTGATATACACTTGAGGACCCTCATAGAAGCTGTGAAATGATAAAGCACATATGCTCAAACCTTGTTTCAGCTCAAGAATCGACTACAGCAGATTTAAGCCTTCTTATATTTCAATTTGCATCATAAATTCAGCATCCATCAGCATCATTCTTCATCTTCAAATTATATACATTTGCTAATAGACTTTTCAGGATTAAATAGGCTCTCTTGAGAGATTAAATTCTCACAAAAATGTCTTCATATGATCTCTCGAGAGTTCTTCATTTTTCAGCTCATTTTCAGCCCTTTGGCTTTTTCAAAAGAGGCAGACCTGCACAATGCTCATAGCAGCACCTTTATAGTGTTCATTCCAGAACCCTAGTGTGGATAAGATCCTATTCATCACTAGCCAATGAATATATGTACTCCTCTCTCACTGCAGGACCACAAGGCCACGTGGCAGCAAGCTATTCACAGTGCTGAATTGTCAATGCTGCCCTTGAAGACTCCACATGTCACATACTATTTTGCAACCACATTTAAGTCCTTAGAATTTTACCTATCAGCTCTAATACATAATGCACTATCTTAGAAAAATATAGGCTGACCATATACTTCTATAGAATGACATAAATGCCCTTTATGCCCTTGTGAATAGTCCTTAGTAGATAGCACATCAAACCACTTGTTCTTTTGACATTAAAAGAGCAAAACCAATAGAACAAATAGCCACAACCAACTATTTTCATTTGAAGATACAAAGCACTTAACATCTTGATCATGCAATTCACATAGAAGAAAATTATAGAGATTTCCATTTCTAAGAGCATGAAACACTTCACTATTTTCCTTTTTAACAATGCATTTATTAAATTTAAATAGCACATCATATACTTTGTCACATAGTGGACTAATACTAAGCAAGTTATGTTTTAAACCTTTGACAAGTAACACATCATCAATAGATAGGGAAAAAGAGATACCAATAGATCCAATACCAATGACCTTGCCTTTTGAGTTGTCTCCAAACTTGACGCTCCCTCCTCTATGAGGTTTGATAGAGAGAAAAATTTTGAGCGATCTCCTGTCATATGTCTTGAGCATCCACTATCTAGGAACCGCTTGTCCTTGGATGATGATAAGTTCTTCAAGCAACCCCACAAAAGGAATTTAAATAATCTTCTTTTGGTACCCACCTTTTCTTGGGTCCATGGGAGTTAGGAAGAAGCATATATATTCCTTTAATAACCCAAATCTCTTTTGTCTTGCATGGCCTAATGGGACAATGATTAATCTTATGTCCTAACCTTTTACAATATTTACATTTTGGATTTTGAAAGGAATTTTTAACAAAATAGTCGTTCAAAGGTTTTTTTTTCCTTTATCAAACAAGAATCTTTGTTGTAGGGGTCATATCCAAGCCCATCCTTAGCATAAGCATTTTTTTGCTTACCAAGCATAAGACTTAAATTTTCTCTACCTTTTGTGAACTTGGCTAAAGTCTCAATTTGATCCTCAATTATGATTTTCAAAGACCTATTTTCGGAAACTAAATCAATAGATGCAAGTTCTTTAGCTAACTCACATTCATTTTCCTTTTTCAATGCTTCATTTTCAAGAAGAGACTTTTCAAGCTTTTGAACGATAATATATTTTTCTCTTTTAAGACTTGCACACTTTTGAACCATCTTACCTAATTCGTCATGCAATTCTTTAAAAGCATCAAGCAAATAATTGTGAGCATCAACTAATTCATCATAAGTAGTTTCTAAGTTAAATGAGTCATGGTTAGAGTTTACCTCATCTTCATCGACCATAAGGCAAAGATTGACCAATTCATTGAGTTCATCATCACTTCCGGATCCATTTGAATCATCATCCTCCCATGTAGCACGCATGGCTTGTGCTTTCTTTTTCCGTTCCTTTTCATTTTTATATGTATAGCAATCCAATTTGAAATGCCCCGATTTTCCATAATAAAAATAAGTAGGTGCTTCTCTTTTTCCTTGCTCACTTGTGGAGCCATTTCTTTTTAGATTGTTACTCTGTTTATACTTCTTCATTTAAAGGACTCTTCTCACGGTTTTGGTGATGAGTGCAATTTCTTCTTCTTCTTCATTGTCAAGAGCTTTCTCAACTTCAACTTCTTTGGTAGTGGCTTGAAGAGCTAGATCTTTCTTGTGGACTTCTTTGTTGTCATCTCTATCATTCATTTCTAGCTCATATGCCATCAAGGAACCAATGAGCTCATCAATAGGAAGTGTGTTGAGATTTTTGGCTTCTTGAATAGCGGTTTTCTTAGCCTCCCAATTCTTAGGCAAAGACCTGAGAATTTTTCTCACATTTTCGGAAGTTGTATATGACTTCCCAAGAGCCTTCAAAGTATTGACAATGTTGGTAAAGCGAGAATACATTTCACTTATTATTTCTTTGTTGTTCATGGTAAATAATTCATATTCATGGATAAGCATGTTCATTTTAGATTCCTTAACATGACTAGTGCCAACATATGTAATTTCAAGTTTATTCCAAATCTCTTTGGCCATTTCACAATCCGAAACTCTATTGAACTCGTCTTTGCTTAGAGCACAATAGAGATTTGTGATAGCCATGACATTACATTGAACAAGCCTACGCTCATTTGGGGTCCACTCATCATCGGTTTTGGGAACCGCTTTACCTTCAACAACTTTGGTTGGAATATGATCATCTTGTTTGGTGGCTTTCCAAGCGTCGATATCTAGGCCCCTTAGAAATGCTCTCATTTTGATTTTCCTATAATTATAATTGTTTCCATCAAACCAAGGAGGTCTATTTTTAGATTGGTCTTCTTGATGAAAGTTGGCCATGATCGTTCTTTAAGATGATTAGATCTTTAACTAGAGATTAGGCTCTGATACCAATTGTTAGACACTAATTGACTCTAGAGGGGGGGTGAATAGAGTTAATGGGCAATTTTTTAAGTTTACAAATTTAACTTCCAATCAACAAATATGCTATAAACAATTATGGTAGATAAATCATACAAAGCATAAATATAAGAGAGATAGGGATAAGAGATTGCAAACAATGACTCAGAGATTTTAGCGAGGTTCGGAAATTCCTACTCCTCGGCTCAAGATCCCTCTTGAGACTTCCCAATCCATTAAAGCTTCTCCTTAATGGTAGAGAGCAAACCTTCACATGAAGCACGCCCTTGCTTCTCTTTCTTGCTAGGAGAACACCCTTCTCCTAGGCTTTTTTAGGTCACACCAACCCTTACAAGTTTATAGAAGAGTTTGTAGATGAAATTACAAGATTGAATCTCTCTCAAGATAGATATACAAATGCAAGCTCACAAGACTAGAGTAATAAATGAATCAGAATAAAGCTCAAGTCTAGTATGGTTGAATAAAAAATACTAGAGTAAATGCTTTTAAATAGTATTTCAAATGTTCTCTCAACCGCGCACTTGCCTTCTTCAATGCTTGACTTTTTATAGAGTAAGGAGGAAGATGAAGTGCATTAATTGCTCAAATATGACCGTTGGAGTTGGTTGAAGTGCATTAAATGTGTAAGTAACTATTGGAGTAATAAATACTCAAGGTTCAGATCTGTTTCAGCTCCTTTAAAGAACTCGAGAAAATGAGATTGGATATCATCTAACCAATTGCAGGATTTTTCCTAACCGGTTACAACAGCTAGGGGACTCTTTCAGTTTAAGACCAACTACTCAAGCAGAGAAGACTTCCTAACCGGTTACATCATTGGCTAAGAGAAGTGACATTCTGTTTAAGCGAACATAACCAGTCACATGGGTTCTCCTAACCAGTTACATCATTGGCCAAGAAAAAGTATTATTTTGTTCAAGTGAAGATAACCGATTACATAGCTTCTTCTAACCAGTTGCATCATTAGCCAAGAAAATTGTATTATGTTTGAGCGAAGGTAATCGGTTACTTGGGTTCTCCTAACCAATTATGAAGTGTCATAGAAGGATGCATCATTATGTGTGTATTGATCTAATCGGTTAGAACTAACCTTCTAACCGGATACAAGATGTAGTGAATCACGTCGAGCTTTCTGCTTTTGTTCATCTACTCGGTTAGATGAATTTTCCTAACCGGTTACATGATCAAAGGAAATTTTGATTTTTCTTTTAAATGCAAGATTTCGAAAAATGTTTTTGAAGCATATGCATGAGCCTATAGATATGAGCTTCAAATCAATTCATAAATTACTTTGACAAGGATCCTAATCACTCATCAATCTATCTACCCCTTTTTCTTCAAGTTTCAACATGATTGCATTATGCTTGGGGTAAACTTGATGTTTCTTAAAATGGAATCTTTGTCTTGTTTGCTCGGTTGTAATTGCTTGGCATATTTTATCCTTTTGCTCTGCATACTCAATATAAACATTAGTCCGAGAACACTTTTAATGTTTTGTAATCATCAAAATCATTAAACGATCTTTGAATGACCTTTAGGGTCAACAGTTGCATATGGGGATTTTAGTTGGGTCCAATTGCATCATATTTATTTTATTTAATGTGATATGTGGTTATGGTATGGTGATATATATATATGTATATATGTGGTGTAAAATAAAAGTAAAGGAAAAAGGAAAAATAAAAGAAAATTTGTGGGGCCCACACCTATGTTTTAAAGAGAGAGAAAGAGACATTTTTGGTCTCATTTCTTTCCCTTTTCTCTCATTCCCGCTCGTCTCTTTCTCTGCTTCTCAAACTTTCAATTTTTTTTTTTTTTTTTTTCACTTCAAGGCTTTAATTCTTGGTTTCTCCTTCAATACTTGGTATTTTTTAGTGCCGTTTGCGGCAAATTAAAGCTCACGGCGAGATCTACAAGTTGATTAGAGCAATTTCTAGTTTAGTGCATTTGGGAATTTTGAGATTTAAGGCATTAATTTGGGGGTTCTACATAAAATTAAGGTAGGGGTTTTTAATTTATAATCTCTTAGATTTTTGTGAGTCAATTCCTCATAATTTATGTTATTATATGATTAATTTTGTATATATTTCATATAAAATTTGCTATGTGTTGTATATGAGATGTATTTACATGCTAAGTTGATAT